GAGTGAGATATTGTTATGGTTGTATTAACTGAAGGTTTTCTGATGGTGGGGTGATAGTGGTGCATGATGATGATCTCTTTTCTTCTTTTTCTTTTTCGGTCCTCCTGTTTTTTGAAATCTCCTTCCTAATTTATACAAGCTTGGTGGAGTTGTGGCTGAGAGGAGACTTAGGGTGAATGGGAGGAGACTTAGGGTGAATGGGAGGAGCTGGTGACTTTTTATTATTATTATTATTTTTTATTATCTCTTTAGTGTTTACACGTAAAATAGTTAATAATAACATGATTCGATATAAGGATATAAATTTTCCAGTATTCCTACGCAGCTCTTCCTTCTTTTTTTCGTCGATATTATAATTTATTATTATTATTATTATTATTATTATTATTATTATTATTTTAATTATAGCTTATAATATTTTTCTCATATTTTATTTTGTGACAAGACGAGAATCTATTCATATTTTGCGTTTTTAACCATTTTTCTTATAATAATTATTGTTTTTTTAGTTTTATTTCTCCTAATATTAGTCTTTAAAAATATAAGGGATAATATTATGTGTTAAACGAGACCAATTGACCATTTTAAGTTCGTTGGCTTAATTAAGGTACATTGATATGTTTATAAGATATTTTTAAAAAAATAAACTTTCAATCAGACTTTTATACAAATCAAAATTAAAAAAATAAATTATAATAAATAAAAACGTCAGATTCAAAATCATTAATAGTAATAATACAGGTTAAATTGGTTAAAAAAAGACATATATATAAATTAAACATTAAATTTTAATTTAATACACCATGCTAAATTAATAAAACAAATATCTAACATTTTATAAATAATAAAGTGCTAAAATTCCTTCCAGTAATTCCAAAATAATAAAGTGTGTTTTGAAATTATATTTACTACGTATACGTCAATATAATGTATATTAATTTAATCATTTTCACCATTCGTATTATTAATAAGTCTTACATTTCGCCTAATTTTAATGGGTTATAAATTAAAATATGACTTGATATTAAATATTTTTTAATCTGAGCTATTATAATAAAAAATTAATGAAAAAAATATATTAAGAAGAGTCTCATATTTTTAATCTCAATAACTTATATATATATATATATATATATATATATATATATATATATATATATATAAAGTGATTTCACATGTCAATTAATATTAAATTAAAATATGACATTTCACATCTCACATATAAAACAAAAATAAATGAAAATAAAGTAGGAAAATAAATATTATTAAAAAAATAAGAAATCAAAATCAAAATTTACATAAGTTTGACTTTTTAAGAAAATAAGAATAGAAGAACAATAAAAAATAATATAATTAATAATATTATAGAACATAATCTATGTTACAGTTTTAAGTTTTTTTCATGGACTCCATCTCTATCTTTTATTTTTTTTTTTATATGTGTATAGACTTTCAACCTTCACACCTATAGATTTAAGCTTTAATTAGCAAATATCCAATCAATGGTAAATACCTTAAATTGACGATTTGAATCGATAGATTTAGTTTGTGAATTTATTTTAATTTATTCGAAAGAGATATATTTTATCATTCTTATATTTATATTTGTACATGAAGTTTGACATTAGATAGAAGTATCTCTAGTCATCCATATATAACAAATGAATCTACTAAAGAAAAAAAGTTTCTCAATGTGGGGGACTGCAGAGAGTTTATAATCTTTATGCATGCCATTATGCTACTACTTATACTAGTCCTAACCATGCGAAACATATTTAAGGAAAAGTTCGTCAGCAATGACGTTAGTGTATAATTGTCTTGTTGCTAATGGTCTTATGTCTCTTAGTTAAAGAAGTCTTTTGATTATACTCCTAACTAAAAGAGATAATTTCACTCAATCAACGTGCTAAGTACAATAATTGCATACTTTGCTTTTAATTCAGGAATAATATAGTAAATAAAAATCCAATTATATTAGTAAACATTTAAAATGGACAACAACAACGTGATTCCCATGGAATCCTAGTGATGTTTGATAGGGAATGGTATAGTAAAGTAATCCTCTCATCCTAATTGGTCATTTTTTTTTTTTTCAGAAACACGGTCAAGTACTTGTGGTGGGATTTGAGAGATTTTACGAACATTTGGTGATTCGTGGAAGAATATGTTAGTATATTTAGGAACATATGCGTCGAGTACAGTGGTACTTGCATTATTACAGGACTTGGATGATTCATGTTGAAGATATAAAGGGAAATCAACCAACCCAATAACATGCGTTGGAACGTGAATGAAGCATGCAAAGTTTTGATAGTAACAAATGTTGATATTGGATTAGTAGAGGTTGACTATAGGGAATGATCGTGTGGTCTACATTACGCTCACAAATGTTTACTCCAATATTGGGGACCGGAACAACTTATACGTTGTCTTTTCCCACATGATTTTAGATATCGTTGCTTCTAATATGAACCACAATAATGTTTTATTTAATTCCATTACAGACATAAATGGAAGGTTTGGATGCGAACTCACGGATTCAAACATTCACGCAGCCATCAACAATAATTTGTTTAATGTTACTGAATAAGTTTGAATAGTAGCATACCATACAAGGTGGTTAATAAAGTTTCACGACTCTTTCGATAAATCTAGCGTTGGCAAAAGTCGTATTCAATTGGAATTTCAAATCATTTATTTAGAGATTGATGATATCATATCTGACTCCAGTATTTGTGTCTGAATTTGGTTCACCTTAGTTATAATCTACTTATGTAATGATCAGCTTGCCGGCTTTCTCAAAACCAATCATAAAATATAGCAAGAGTTTAAAAACTTTTCCTTTCCTTTCCTTTCCTCACATACATATGCATGCATTAATTAAATTTCATTACAAGTTAATCTTATAATAATATATAATTATTTGTATCACATTCTTTTACTTGTTTACAGTGGAAATAATTTACTAGTCGATATAATTAATATTTTTTATGCACTCAATTATTTAAATAGTAGGTATATTTTTTTATTTTACTCAAAGTTTATTATATGATAGATTTTAATAAAAGATTATTCATATTTAATTTTTATATTTAATATAATATGAAATATTTAGAATAACTTAAAAAATAATAAAAGAACGATAAAAATAAATAACTAAAAAATAAATGCAGGAAATTAAATAACATAAAAGTAAATCTAACTTATTATTAAGAATATAATAATAAAAATTGATAAAATAAATCAATTAAAGTGACGATCCAAATTATAAAATTTTTTATTAAAAATGTTTGTTCCTACTTTATAGTATTTTTCAAAATGTAAATTGTACCATCTCACAATCACCTTAATTACCTTTATTTTATCATATATATATATATATATATATATATATATATATATATATTATTTTTTTATAACTTCTAAAACAACCCTAAAAAAAATAAAAAATTCAAATGATTATTTTGTTGTAATTGTTTTTTGTAACTTGCGAACTTCTTTTTTTAATCGACTTCATATTATTCGATGCACTACCAAAAAAACTTTTCTTTTAACTTCTTTTTTATATTCATATTCATTTTTTTCCACTATTTTAACTATAAGATTCCTAATTTTTTGATATTATTTTCTTTTAATTTCTCAATTTTCAATTTGTTAATATTATATCTTTTTTCAAAAATTTAATCTTAATTATTCTTTTATGTCGATACGTTATTTTTTATTTTTACCTTTATTCTTTCTAACCATTTAATACCTAATCAGCCTCAATCTATTCTTCCTATTTCTTTTCATATAATTTTTAGACATAACAACTCGTCTAGAAACGTTCTAGATTTTGCACCAAGCTGTTGGATAATTTGTGTGTATGTCAAACTAATAATGAGTGGAAATGACATAATAACATGTTCCGATACCTTTTTGGCAATTCAAACCCATGGTTGAAATGAATGACATGGTTTATATTCTGATTTGTGATAAAGAAAGGTTAATTTACTGTACGATCAACGCTGAGTTGTGGAATGTTCGCTTATACAATGCACCGCTCATCTCTTTCATAGTCGATTCAAACAAATATTAAACCTTTAAATTCTAAAGAAAAAAAAAATCAATGTCATATATGCTTTAAAATGAAACGTCACTTCCGTAAATAATCTGAAGTTTGAATTTACATAAATAGGGTGAAGGAACAGTGGGAATTAATTAGGTTAGGACTAACGAGAAATAATGTCTTCTCCAACAATGACTTCTTTAAATTGGTCGCACATGCAGGTTGAGAATAAAACAAGACGCATTAAATGAATGAGGCTATATTGAAAATAGTGTTGTATTGAAACAGAAAAAATAATTGTGAGGATAGTTTTTAATTTTTCTTACAATATTATTAATTTATTTGATTATTATTATCAAGCATATTTGTTTAATGTTTTCTACATTAAAAAATAGTATAGCAACAAAATACTCCCTCAATTTGTTGTGTATGCTTGCTTACTAGTAATTATTATCTTTTTGTATTTCATAAGGAATCTTCGAAGTAACTGGTGGGTCCACGTGGTAAAAGGGCCTAGTGGAATAAATATAAGGTTGGATTAGGCTATTTTTTTTACTGGATCAATATTATTCTTAGTATAAATATGTTTTAAAAAGTTCATGAAAATGAGTTTTCAATTATATGATTTTTAAATTGAATTTTTTAGAAATATATTTTTTAAAATTGATTTTGGAATATAAAAAAAATTAGAATATATTTTCGAAAAATATAATATGAAAATAAGTTTAAATTGTATTTTTTAATGTATTTTTAGATTGTTTTTTCTGAAAATATAATCTAGATTCAATAATTTAGAATTTATTTTAAGAAAGTACAATATGGAAATTCGTTTTGGATTAGTTAATTCAGTTTTTTTAAAATGTATTCTGAATGTAAATCAAATAATTATTTTTACAAAAATTTTAGATGTATTACATATTAAAAATATTAATAATTTTAATTGTAGGAGAAATTATTCAGGTGCATGAAGAGGCATTGGGATTAGCATATTTGTGGGCTTTGAAGCCCAATAGTTGTACACCAAAACTGCACAATATTCAACCTGGTTTTTTTGTCAGGGTGAAAAGAAATTAAAAGAAAAAATGAACAAGTATATCTAATATTAATAATTAGAATATAGTAAATTTTAAAGATAGGTCTTCACTTGTCATTTTCTTTTCAAGTGTTTTTGGTTTTTTTACTCTCTCAGACTATCTTTTATTTTTTTATTGTCACATTTGATAATTTTAACTTTACCAATTTTACTCTACTTCTTTCTATACAACACACATAAATGTTATTGTTTCTCTTCCAGATTACCTGTTTTTTTAATAATAATAATAAAAGTAATATTTTTCCACTTATCTTTTTCCAAGGAATGCTGGGTATAATCTACAAAGTTGTGTTTTACCAACGATAGAATGCTTTTGTTGAAAGCTGACTTAAAGGCACCAAATTCAAGTCTAGAAAAGCTGAAGAATATTTATTTTTGCAAAGTTATTTTTCAGACCCAAAAATCTGTTTAATACCGGTGAGAAAAATATAAACATACCAGGCAACATGACATGGTAGAAAAAGAAAAAATAGAATATTTAGGAAAATGAAGTTTCAAAAATACATTTTTTAAGCACAAGAAATAAATAAATCACCAAACCAATAAAAAATCGAAAGAATGCATTACACGATTTCAGAAGGATGCTAAACTAATACAAATTTTAAAAATAAAAAAGAAAACTAAATACAAATTAGTGATGATCACAAATCAGACTAGGGCACCAGCATTGGGTGCCATGTTTCCAAACAATAACTTCAAGTCATTCTCTAACGGTGTTAGGTTCAAGTCCATGCACATACCCCTCAGGCTATTTGATCTTTTCAAAACTGGTACTTGTGCAACAACCTGTTTAATTGAAGAAGAGTCTTCGTTAATGGAAGCTCTATGTCTTCTCATGTGGCCTCCAAGTGCCTGACCCAATGAGAATTCTTGTCCACAAATGGAACACTCGTGCATTTTGGGTTTATCGATTCCCAATCTCAGGGATATAGCATGTGCTTTGAGTTCATCCCCCTCAAGTTTGGACCTTTTGTGGCTAGCCCTATGCCCACCCAATGCCTGAAAGGACGAGAACTTTCGGTTGCATGTCTTGCACTCAAATTCCACACCCTCCAAATGTTTCTGTCGTGATATCCTTTGTTGGGGGCAAGAGAGAAGCATTAGACAATTTGCCAAATCTATGCTCTCAAACCCCTCCATTTTTCTCTGTCTCTTCATTGCTACGTCAGTAGACCTGATCAATCACACTGAGTAAAAACAGAGTTTGGAATAATATTTGTGATTGTGGGATTGGCGAGTAAAACATGGACATGGAGGTTTATATTTATAAAGGAATTCCACCAAAACAATGTCAACGAATTTGACTGATTTTAAAAAACTAATTACGGAGGCTTCTTTGTATTAGTAGCGATTTCAAATTTAAGAAAGTGTAGGTTATAATAGTAACAAATCTAAGACTAGCGGCAAAAAACAGAAGGTGGTGCTGACTGGTCGTACTTTGAAGACAAAATGACATGAATGCCCCTTCCCATTATGTAACATTCTGCTATGGCTGGCATTAGGGTTTGTCTCTTTCTGTAGTCCACGTGGGGTTTACGCTTACTGGTTTATGAACCAAAACCAAAACCGCGTGTTGATGAGGAGCAACCCACTGAACCGGTCGTGGATAGCGAGCTACCTACAACTAGAACTTGTACTTTCGTTCTTCCTTGAAATATGAAATATTGTATATAAAAATACAAGAGGATTGAAACAACACGTTCTTATACATTTTAGTTAAAACACATAAGAGTAATTGCTTAAGAATTTATAATTAAAATAAAAAATTAAAAAATAAATAAATAAAACCCATAATAAATAATAATAAAATTTAACTACAGAACAAATTAAAATATTTTCTATAAATTTAAAATAATAATAATAATAATAATATTCTCTCTTAAAAATAAAAGAACTTCTTTAAATTTAAGGAGAAAATAATAATAATATTTTTTCTAAAAAATAAACAAATTTAATTACTATATAATATACTAGTAAAAAAACAAATTTAAGATAATTTTCAAGATAAATATAATATGTTAGGTATCAGACAAAAACATAAATACACACAACTAAAATAAAAAGAAGAGAAAAATATCAACAATAGGCAAAAGAGGAATTTCACTAATAAAAGAAATTACAACATTTCTCTCTACCTATAAGGAGAAAACAATAACACTTTCTCCTGAAAATAAAGGAAAAACAACTCTAAGAGAACTTAGAAGGAGAAACTATTTTTCTCTTTTAATTTATCTCTCAAGTACTAAAACAACAAGAGAAAGAAAATGAAGTGATTTTGGTGCATCTTACAAGATAAATATTGTACTCCTTTTATAGTAAGAAAATGAAGCACCAGACTAAGATTTCCCTGATGTGGGACTTTTCTTCTCACAATCTCCCATTTAAAAATTTTGATTAAATTAACCAAATCTTCACACCATGTTTGCGTTATTCTTGTCATCCATGTTGTTTATTTTTCCGCTAAGCCATAGTAGGATCGAATCCATACAAACTTGTCAACATTAACTGGTTTTGTCATAACATCTGCTAGGTTCTCATCCGTGTGAATCTTTTGCATATTCACACTTCCTTCTTCCACCATTTCCCGAATAAAATGATATTTTATTCATATGTGTTTTGTCCTAGAATGAAAGACTGGATTTCTTGCAATGTGCCCAAGTTCCTCCATTATCTTCCTAATCCAAATAACTTCCTTACATGCCTAGGTGGCTGCCATGTACTTAGCTTCTGTAGTAGACAGAGCTACAACATCTTGTAACTTGGATAACCAACTTATTGCCCCTCCTGCAACTGTAAACACATAACCAGTAGTAGATCTCATTTTATCCAGATCACCTGCAAAATTTGAATCAACATAGCCTCTGATAACTGGTTTTGATCCTCCATAACATAATGCAACACCTAAGGTTCCTTTTATGTATATAAGGATCCTCTTCATAGCATTCCAATGCTTTCCACCAGGATTTCCCATGAATCTACTAACTACTCTCACTGCTTGTGCAATGTCTGGTCTTATACAAATCATGGCATACATAAGATTTCTCATTGTTGATGCATACGGTACTTGAGACATTTTCATCCTCTCTGCTTCATTGTTGAGACTCATACTTGTGGATAACTTACAATTGATAGGAAGTGGGGTAGAAATTAGCTTGCAATCTTGCATGTTGAAGCGCCGCAAGATTTTCAGTAAGTAATTCTTCTGAGAAAACCAAACCTTCCTATCTTTTCTATCTCTGTGAATTTGCATCCCTAAAATCTTGTTTGTTGGTCCCAAGTCCTTCATGTCAAATTCCCTATCCAGTTGTGCCTTTAACTCTTGGATTCGATCTATGTTGGGGTCTACTACCAACATGTCATCCACATACAATAACAATATAACAAAATCATTATCACCAAACCTATTGTAGTATGTACAATGGTCTGAGCTCAGTCTATTATGTACAAATTCATGTCAAATAATGAAGGAATCAAATCTCTTATACCAACATTTGGGTGCTTGCTTTAGACCGTATAGAGATTTGGTCAACCTGCAAACCAAATTTTCTTGTTCTTTAAAGCCTTCTGGTTGGAGCATATAAATTTTCTCTTCAAGATCTCCATGAAGAAAAACATTCTTTACATTCAATTGTTCAAGTTGTAAATCAAATGCAACACACATAGCTAGAACAACTCTGATGGACATCAATCTGACAACCGGCGAGAATATCTTATTGAAATCAATACCTTTTTTCTGAGCATATCCATTTACCACCAATTTAGCACGATTTCTTTCTACTTGATCATTGTCATCTCTCTTGATCTTATAGACTCATTTGCAACCAATGACTCTTTGACCTTTCGGAAGTTCCACAAGATTCCATGTTTTGTTTTTATGAAGAGCTTCCATTTCTTCCAGCATTGCAGCCATCCACAAAGAAGCATCTGAACAACTCATAGCCTCTCGAAATGTTGAAGATTCTCCTTCTTCATTTATAAGACAATACGCATCATGACTTGTCATCACATATTATGAATGCCAAGATGATCTGACTTTTTCTCGTGTTGATCGCCAGAGATCTCCATTACCAACCTCATTTGGCTCTTGATCTTCATGCTCCTCTTCTGACTCAGATGAGTCATCCGAAGACTTCTTCTCTATCTGTACTACAACCTTGTCCTTTATCAAGCTGTCATTTGTCTGCTCACTTTGTAGTTCATTTTCTGCAAAGACTACATCTCTGCTAACAACCACCTTGTGGGAAGTGGGGTCCCACAGGTGATACCCCTTCACATTGTCAGCATAACCCAAGAAGATACATTTCCTGGATTTTGGATCCAATTTTGTTCTTTCTTGAGTTTTGTACATCACGTACACAAGACAACCAAAAACACGTAAGGTTTACCTTTCCATAACTCCATTGGTATGCTCAAACCAATGGCGGTTGATGGTGACCAATTTATAACATAACAGATAGTTTTAACCGCTTCTGCCCAAAAAGACTTGGCTACTCCAGCTGTTCGCAATATAACTCTTTCTTTTCAGGAGAGTTCTATTCATCCGCTCTGCTATACCATTTTGTTGAGGCGTATGTGGGACAAAAAATTGTCTGGTGATACCCTCTTGCTTGCAAAATGCTAAAAATTCTCCGTCTACATATTCTCCTCTGTTATTTGTCCTCAAGAACTTAATTCTTTTTCCAGTTTCAAGTTCTTATTGTGCTTTGAATTCCTTGAACTGTGAAAACACATCTGACTTCTTCTTGATAAGGCATACCCACCATCTCCTGTAGTAATCATCGATGAACGATACAAAATATTTTGCTCATCTGAGGGATAGTACCGGCGATTCCCACACATCAGAAAGAATCAAGTCCAATATGTGTTTACTTTTAGCAGTCACTCTAGCAAACTTCAATTTATTTTGCTTACTTATCACACAGTGCTCGCAAAATGGTAAACTAACATTTTTAAGCCCGGGTAAGAGATTACGTTCTGACATATGACCAAGTCTATGATGTCACATGATCACTGCATCTTCCTGACTTGTTGCCACAACTGATGCATCCGTTTCTTTCAATGTATCTCCAAGCAGCACATACAAATTTTTCATAATCTTCTTTGCCTTCATGACCACCAAACTCCCCTTCACCACCTTCAAGATTCCATTTTCAACATGGATCTTACACCCAAAATCATCTAATTGACCAATGGACAATAGATTCTTCTTCAAGTCCTTCACATGTCGTACCCCTTGAATTGTGCGAACAATATCATCGTACATTTTAATTTTGACAGTACAAATTTCAGTAATCTCCAATGCATGGTTGTTTCCCATGAAGACAAATTCACCTGAGAATAATTCAAAAGTGTGAAAGTAATCTCAGTGCGAAATCATGTGTCATGTTGCACCTGAATCCACTATCCACTTGTCATGAAACTCCTTTTCACCATTATAGCTAATTACTGTTTCACTCACCAGAATATCTCCATCTTTCGAGGTACTTACAATACAACCTTGTGAGGTTGATTCTTCAGAGTTGTTTCCTCCATTCTTCCTCTTTCAACACTCTTTTTTCGTATGTCCTTTCTTGTCACAAAAGTAGCATTTGATTTTAGAACTCTTCTTTGTTAGAGAAATGACATCTAGAGGGAGGTGAATAGATGCACAAATTAAAATAGATGTCAAATTTAAAATTTATTTTAAGATGTCTAATATTTATTAGTTCAATTTTAATTATCAAATTAAACAAAGATAAAACAGAAACGATAATATAATCGGAGAGTTAAAAAGGGAGGGATGTAAGCACCGAGAGATAGGGAGGAGAAGAGCACACGAGTAAATTAGATTGGTTTGGGTATAGCCAACCCTACATCCAGTTCCCAGTCAACTCTAATCACAAGAGTAACTCCCAATTCACTATCTTCAAAATTCAGTTTACAAACTACAATCAAATCAGCAGATGAACCACTAGAAAGTAAATTAATTAAAAAGACAATCACCTTCTTAGAAACCCACTAAGGATGAACACCTCCCTAGAATCTCACTAGGGATGAACACCTCGTCTGAATAAATCAAAGGATGAAAAACACCTTCTTTGCAACCAACACACAAAAGATGAACACCTCCCTAGAATCACACTAGAGATGAACACCTCCCA